TTCCTAATTGCTCATAAATTACAAATGAAAATCAAATTCATGCAATTTATAGTTATGTGTCATTAGTAGTTGTTTAATAGCTCTACAATTTTGGGAAACAACTTTATTGGTTACAAATAATGTTCAAAGAGGCGTATAATCATATACATATTTTGAAATAAGTTTCAAATTTGATATTTCAGTTATTTGTTTTTACATTTTGTTTATATATGCTAATATAAACACAATGTATAATAAAATAATGAAGAGTTTTAAATTTTTACTAAAAAAATCACAACAAGTTATCACTTTACCAATATAATGACAGATAATTGAAGATGTTAAATTAATGCCTGGGAAAAAATTTATAATCTGAGGTTATTACAGAAGTAGCATTCAACATCTTGTATCATATTTTCCAACAATTATTTTATTTAAAAATGTAACCATTAAATCATATATATATATTCACACTGACCAGCACATATTTGTTTTATTTTATGAGTTATAATTCACTAAAATCATTACTCATATCAAAGTAGAGTTGTGGAGTATTTTATTCAAGAAGTTGTACTTCTATAATTATGTATTTGAATGTTAATTTTTACATACCCAGCCAGCAGTATTTCTGTTAAGATGACTGCACTGTACTTTGTGAAATACAAATTATTCTTTGGTAATAACTTAGCTGTTGACAAAAAAGATGTTACAAGTTTATCTTGTATATTGCTTGTCCCAGCCCTGAAACCAAACAATCCTCTAAGAAGCCTTAGTTTTCTAGATGCCAGTATTTGAGTATTAGGGGTTCTCACTATTACTATTACACTATTTCTCTCTTAGTTGACATGGCTAGAACATACGTGTGTTTATATTCACATCTACAAATGCATCTTCTAGTTCCATATCTACCTGAATATGTATAACGTGTGTGTGTGTGTGCATGTTAAACCATGAGTACGTATTTATACTTCCAATTCCAACCCAGCATTAAAGAATTTCTTGTAATCTTTTTACTGCTTTTTTTATAACTCCTTTTTCAAAATTAAAAACTGGTTTTCATTATCCACAGGATATTTACTATTTTTTTTTTCAAATCTAGAATGAACATAGCCTTGAAAATGAGCCCAATTTAATTGGATAAGACTATGGAGGAATTTATTCCCTGAAACACTATAAAAAACAATAAGAGCACTGAGCTAGTAATAAGCAAGGGCTAACAATTGAGTGTGACACTGACAGACATGGACAGCTTAACAGAGAAATCAGGGAAAGACAACCAAAGAATACACTGCAAAAACCATTATCATCCAAGCTGGTCATGTTCAAGGTTGAATTCTCTGAAGAGCAACATCGTAAGTTATACACTGCAAAAGAAATAAACTTTACCTCAATAGTCTAGTCAAATCAGTGAACAAATAAGCAAGAAATTACCTAACAGACAGGGGGAATTAGTATCCAGAGTTTCTATAATATATTATCTAAAATATCAACAAGTTTACAAGATAGCTAAAGAAATAGGAATATAATACTGCTACACAGAAATAAAAAGCAAGCAACAGAAGATATTACACATAGCAAAGAATTTAAAGTTATTATAAATATATACATTCAAAGAAGTAAATTAAACTATTTTAAAATAAGTAAAAATAGTTTGATGGTAATACATCATCCAATAGTGAATATTGAGAAAGACGAGTTATTATTATTATTAGTAGTAGTAGTAGTAGTAGTACTTTTTGAGAGAGCGTTTTGCTTTGTCAGTTAGGCTGGAGTGCAGTGGCACTATTTTGGCTTACTGAAGCTGCATCCTCCCAGGCTCAAGTGATCCTCCTGCCTCAACCTCCCAAATAGCTGGGACTACAGGTGCATGACACCACACTCAGCTATTTTTTTTGTTTGCTTTATTTTTTAAGAGAGATGTTGCCAAGGCTGGTCTCATACAGCTGGGCTCAAATGATCCTCTTGTCTCAGCCTCTCAAAGTGCTGAGATTACAGGCATGAACCACTGCACCCCACCAGGAATTTTTTTTTTTAATAAAAATGATAAATACAAAGCTAATATATCAAACTAAATGAATATATGTTTACTCTACTTTTTTCTTGCAGTTTCTATAAAAGATACAAAAGTATATAAAATAGTCATTTTGCAAATGTGTTATTAGTTTTGTGATATACAGTATATAGATGTAATATGTGTAATAATAGCACAGTAAAGGTCAGGAACAAATAGATACAGTAGAACTAAGTTTGCATATCTCACTGAAATTGAAATCAATATGAATTAGAATTAGAATGTAAAATGATTATATTTAACATTTATGAATTAAATATACGTACATATATCATATACTATATATTAAATATATATTTAAACCTTATTAATAAGGATGAGGAAGCATTTAATAAACAATATTTTATTCTCAATTTTATAGACTTTTAAATGCACAAAATCTTCTGTAGATGGTTAACATAATAATAATTTTATGACAATCCAATTCATAGCACCAGTACCATATATATTATCTTAACTATATTATGAACTTTGTAATTTTGAAGGTCAATTACATTTTAAATTTTTAGGAAGTTCCATTGCCCCCAAATCAATATTGAAGACTGAAATGGTGTTAAATTTTTAACAGTGCATCAGACGTTAACTACTGTTTAGAAGGGTTCAAGAATTATTGCTTCAGTAAGTATGTGTTAACGGTACAATTGTTTACAGGAAATTAAAGCTTATTGTGATGTTTTTCATGCTTGTGCAAATAAGAACACTAAATTAAATTTAAATATTTATACAAATCATTTTTTATTGATCAAGAAAATCTATAAAATATGTTTAAACCATTGATTTATAAGTCTTTCATTTACCACCTAGGCCATATTTCCATGGTAATATTATCAATATTTGACCTGATCTGGAAAATAAGCTCCTTTTTTCTTAATGACTTGCGCAGTAAGTGATATATAGTCTCTTTTACTTTCTCCAGTATCAGTAAATAACAATAAGTAATTTGCTATGAAATGATTAACCACATGTTTTAACATATAAATTTTAAAATGAAACCAAACTATGGGAGGGGGTAGCATAGATTTAATGCTCACATTTATGAGATTTGTGGAAAAGTGACCTTGGAAGCCATCAGGAAAGCAAAAGAGTTCTTTTTAACTCCTAAGCAAATCTAGAATTTCCAGTATCAAATGTCAATGCACTAATATTTATGAAGGGTGCAATTCTACCTTCCACAGGAAAGGATGGTTGCTGTATCAGCCTGTGGAAATGCAGCCTTCAGTGGTGAAAGGCAGGCCTTGAATGTACACAATTGTCAAGGCACAGTGAAAGTATAATTATGCATATTTAGCCTCTCAAAAATATTTACTCTAAATAATTATTATGGAAAAAAAAAAACTTTTGTCAAGGGAATGGAACATACACATCTTTGCTTCTCTCATGGTTATCTGTATCATAAAAGTATATGGGCTAGCCACAGGAAAATCTAAACAAGGAACAGTCTGAGAATTAAAAGTGTTTGGGGAACGTCAACATTTAAAGTTTTTGTACATAAAGTATCTGATTAAATTTCCAATATTTATTACCAAGGACTTTTTTGTAATAAGAAATTTAATCCTGTGTTAGAAATTCCTCTAGATAATTTTTTAATGCTTTAAAAATCCAAGAACTAGCTCAAATTTTAAATCTAATCATTTTAAGCCATAATTTTACAATAACAATAATAATACGTTTTAAGAAACTTACAAATTCAAACTTTTTAATTTTAGACACAGAGTCTTGCTCACACAACCCCCTGCCTCAGCCTCCCGAAGTGCTGGAATTACAGGTGTGAGCCACCTGTACTTGGTCAGAACATTCAAACTTAAAACTCAAAATTTAATCTGGAGAAAAAGATAATATATCATTTTCAGCCACCCTACAACCTAGGTAGGTTTCTCCAAGATATTTTTTCACAACAGCTTATGAGACAAAAGATTGACTGGGATTTTTTTCTGAGAACTGAAGAGAAAGTGTGCTTTAATGTCCAGATGTTATCAATCCACTTTGGGGCATATCTTCATAGAGATGTACACCACTCAAGGCTGATGTTTGGTGACACCGCATCCCCTAGAGGCCATTTATCCCAGAGACATGAGTAAACATTGCTGAACCTGCAGCTTTGTCTTTTATGAACCTGGGCAATGGAGTGTGGATCTGTAATATACCACAGTCCAAAGTGAGTGCTGTCAAATACCTCTGCCCTTATCAGGCTCTTTATTGAATATCAGAACTAGATAAGGGAAAAAACCCTCAGGCAACCTATTTGTCTTAAACTTGAATAAAATGAGAAAAAGATAAACAGAGATAGCCCAAGGTCTAGAAAACAAATTGGTCCCAGAGATAGGAATAGAAAATAGGTTTTCTGTCTCCTTGTTAAGATCATTTACTACAACACTACACCGTCATGTTGCATAGTACTATAGAATATTGAAAATTGCCAGGATGGAAAAGACTTCCAGGCTTTAAAAAAAATCTCATTTACTTTTTCATATTAATTTGTCCCAGAAAATAAATATTAAATAGTTCTATAAGCCACTGTGGCTTTTTTCCCTCATTATTCACTTTTTAATTCTGTGCATTATAAAAGGAAAACTATACAACAAAATATACTAAATAATAAAATCATCTCTCCAGGCCTCATGTCTCTGAGCCTGTTACACTCCCTTTCTCTGAAGTAACCACAGTTAACAATTTATTTTTAATCCTTCAACATCTTTCTAATTTTTAATCTATGAATTATGTAGCTTCATTCATTTAATGTACTGAATTAATTTTATTGTGCGCATCTTTCTATGTCCATACCTATAGTTTCATCTTCTTTCTATTACTTACATTCTAATACAGAATAATTTTTCAACGGGCCTTGATGAGTGGACATTGATGTTGATATCAGATGGGAACGTCTTTAGCAGTAAAGCAGAAACCCCGAGTACAGTATTTTAAACCAAAAAAGTTGCTTTTCTTTTTTCCCCCCCCCCATAACAAAAAGTGTCCGGTAAATCCTTGCCAGTCTTGGTGTAGCAGCTCTATAACATCAGTGATGGCGTCTCCACGATTCTCAAGCTTTTCCCTCAGGTCTCAGGAAGCCTTCCCAGGCTGTCATCACACTGGCATTCGAAGGAAGAAGACTGGACTCATCTCTCTTTTATCAGGAAAGTTCCTCAAAGCTTCCTTGGCATTCATCTCATTGGCATAAAAATGTCGAATGGTCACTTCCGGTGGCAAGGGAGTTTGGCTAAGGAAGTAAGGAATTCAACTACATGAGCAAGGGCTTGGCGTTTTTTATTCAATTGGTCAAATAACGGTCTTATCATGGGTTGTTTCAATTTCTTACAAAATTTCCACAGTAAAAATCTTTGTAAGTGCTATTCTGTTTTTTTATGTGAAGATAGGAATGACAAATTCCATACAAGGAGACAGAAAAAAAGAGGACATGGGAGTGAGAAAGTGTGAGGCCAAAAGAAGAAAAGAGAAAAGGAACAAATAGGAGGAGCAAAGGAGAGGAGAGGAGAGGAGGGGAGGGGAAGTGAGAGGAAGAGCGGAGGGGAGGGGAAGAGGAGGGAAGAGGAGTTGGAGGGAGAGAGGGGGAAGGTAATCTGGAAGTAAAAAGATCAAGGCTGGCATTAAACCGAGGTATGTAACTTTCCTGACTATGTCATCTCAAGTAAAGCTTATGTTCCTTTCAGGAAGAGTAAGCTGTCCAGAGCCAGAAATTCCAGGTGTGCCAAACTGTTCCTTTCTGGAAGTTCTTCTGTATCCACCCTTTTGTAGGAGTAATATATGGTAGTGAGGTAGATGCAAATTAAAATAACAGTGAAATATCATTTTGCATCCTTCAGGATGACAAATCATTAAAAACTATGAAAAAAAAGGATACACTTTTACTCAGTTAATCAAAATAAGAATCATTGGCCGCAGTGGCTCACGCCTGTAATCCCAGCACTTTGGGAGGCCTAGGTGGGGGATCAGGAGGTCAGGAGATGGAGACCATCTGGCTAACGTGATGAAACCCCGTCTCTACTGAAAATACAAAAAATTAGCCGGGGAAGGTGGCAGACGCCTGTAGTCCCAGCTTCTCGGGAGGCTGAGGCAGGAGAATGGCATGAACCTGGAAGGCGGAGCTTGCAGTTAGCCGAGATGGCGCCACTGCACTCCAGCTTGGGCGACAGAGCAAGACTCCGTCTCAAAAAAAAAAAAAAAAAAAAATCATATACGTCTTGAAAAACACTGTGGCAATATATTTTAAATTTAAGGATATATATAGAGAGACAATAGATGACAGAAAGATAAAAAGATAGAGAAATGCCCTTCACACAGTACACATTCTTGGGAATCTATTCTTTACAAAAATTATGAAATAATATAATAACTAAGATGTTTATTAAGTTATTAATATTGGCCATAATGAAAAAAAAGTCTAGAATCAATAAAGTAAAGCACATAAATACCACGGAATATTATGCATCTGTTAAAACTGGAGAAGACTCAGAGAGATTGCTGTAAGATAAAATTCAATTGAAAAATTAGGTGTAGAAAAGATAGATGTGTAATATTACCTACACCATTTAATTTCAAATATAAAATAAAACATTGAATGTGTGTCTATATGTGTGTGTGAAATATATACAGTTTTATGATCATGAAGTATGGAAAAACATGAAGGAATATAGATGAGACTGATAATACAGGTTAGTTAGATAAAGGGAGCTGAGACTGACATGGGAGGGAGAAAAAAGAATAAAAGGTAAACAAAAATGAAAACAATAAAGACTAAATTACAAAAAAAACAACATATTTGTGATTATGATAGTTACCCAAGATGTCCTCCTAATGAACCATGCATCCCACTACTTTGAAATGTGTGTAGTCCTCATCCCTTAAAACTGGGCTAGCTGGCTGGGTGTGGTGGCTTACACCTGTAATCTCAGCACTTTCAGAGGCTGAGGCATGTGGATCACCTGAGGTCAGAAGTTTGAGACCAGCCTGGCCAACATGGTGAAACTCCATCTCTACTAAAAAATACAAAAATTAGCTGGGCATGGTGGCACACACCTGTAATCCCAGCTACTTGGGGGACTGAGGCAGGAGAATTGCAGGAACCAGGAAGGTGGAGGTTGCAGTGAGCTGAGATTGAGCCACTGCACTCCAGCCTGGGCCAACAGCAGTGAGACTCCATCTCAGAAAAAAAAAAAAAAAAAAAATGGGCTAACCTTAGTGACTTGCCTAACATATAGCATCTTATGGAGTAGCATTCTGGACTTCCAAGGCCAACTCACAGGAGATCGTGCAGTTTCCTGCTGGGACTCTTGGACACTCATTCTCTGGATTCTACTTCTCAAAATACGGCCACCAAGCTGTAATCAGTGCAGGCCACAAGGAAAGGCTATGTGTAGACATTCTGGTCAACAGCCCTGGCTAAATTCCCAGTTTACCGGCAACATCAACTGTCATTTATGTAAGTGAGATACCTTGGACATCCAGCCCAGTTGTGCCTAGAGACAATTCCAGCCCAAGAAACCATCTGATTCAGCATATGAGAGACTTTGAGTGAGAACTAATCAGCTAAAGTCAGTCAAGCCACATAAATGGGAGAAGGATTAGGATTTTTTTTTTTTTTTTTTTTTTTTAGATGGAGTCTCATTCTGTCTCCCAGGCTGGAGTGCAGTCTCCCAGGCTGGTCTTGAACTCCTGACCTTGTGATCACCCACCTCAGCCTCCCAAAGAGAATGAGGATTTTTTAAGCGACTGATTTAGAAGTATGTTATACAGGAAAAGATAATCATATTTATAAATTAATATAAAAGTATATATGTGAAAATAAATTTAAATATTAAATAGGATGTTATTTTCAAAAGTGAGGAGAAGGAGACTTGGTCTTGATCTAGTTTAAAATAAAAAAGTAAAAGAAAAACTAAAAGAAGAAAATGTGATTGATTGAGAGTAATATTGGTGTCAGAGTTATACAGAGCCAACAGCTCTAAACCCCTATCTGCTTCTTCCTAGTTGTTGATGTTCCTTGAACCTCAATTTCCCCATCAGTATCTGAGGAAAAATTATCATTTGGCACATAACTTGATAAAAAATCAGAGTCATTTAATGTTGAGTTCTCCACAAAACTCATCTCTCTAATACAAAACACCTCTCTGTAGCATCACGATCACAGAGATATAGAATACAGAAACTAAGGCAAATATTGGGTATAATATGCATTGCCATCTTGCTTGTGGTACTCTCAACAACTGATATATTTGTATATTTCTATGCCAATCCCATAATGCCCTGATCATAGTACACTTATAGCCATTTTTCTTTTTTTTTTCCAGTATGGCAAAGTACAACTTATTAATTTTTTGTGAAGATTACTTACAATGTTCATTCTTTCATAAGATTGTTGAATTATTTTCCATTTTCCACTCATTCTAACACATTGACAATAACAAAAATACAAAAAAAGTATTTGAATTAAATAATATTTAGAAATATTTTTGTAAAGAATTAATATTTTTATGATATAAAGACATGTCAACAAAGAAAGATTAATCTTTATTAGACATAGTAAGATTAAATTATATAAGAAGTAAAATATATAAGAAGTAATTATATAAGAAGTAAGTAAGTAAGCGTGATGAATGAATACACTTTTGTTAGGTAGAGATGAAGGAAGACATTCTAACAAAAAAATCAATAGCAAAGTGAATGTGTGAAGACAAGACACTACAAGTCCCATGTGTATAATGCATGAACAGATTATGTCTGGCTTTGTGACAGTTTAAAACTGAATAAGAGTAGACAGTCAATTTCCCAAAAATTATTGTAGCATTTTAAAAATAAATTTCTAATAGAGTGTTCTCATTTTAAAGAGAAGTTCAGGGTGACAAAATGTAGCATATTATTAAGCCATTTTACTATCTTATGTCCAGAGGTTAATGTCACAAAAATTGCCAATTTTTGTTTCCCTTATTTTATTGTTTTCTCGAACAATGAAACACATGTATTAAATAATTAAAGGTCTGTGAATATGTTTTCCACACTTATTTGTATTCTGTAGTATGCTATTTTATTAAGTAATTCTTTTCTTCAAGATACTTCATACAATGAAGTGGATTGAGATAATTTGTATGGAAGACTGCATAAAATAAAACAATTGCAGTTATTAATGCCAAATGAGTACAGCATGTAAAAAGGGTAATAATTGAAATGCCTTTTTGTATCTTGAAAGTGTTGGGAAGTTCCAAAATCTGATTGTAAGAATGAAAAGATTAATTTGACAAAATGTAACTAAGGATAAGCATATTTTTCACATGGCTTTATCACAAGAATATGTCATGTTTTTCTATGCCTCCTCTAAATGTTTCTCAAGTGGAGTACCTTCTAGATCCTGGAAGACACTGTTTTCACTCACTGCCTTTTTATATCAATTCTGTAGAACACTGATCTTATTAGAATGCAAATGTGTATGTTAATGGTATAATTACACTATACATGCAGATAGAGGCAATGTTAACATGAAAAGATCGCACTAAATTTTATAAAGGGATGATTTTGACTAACTTCATGAGTGCTCTTATCTTGACCATCTTTCTGTTTTCTGTTGTGAAAAATCTAGAATTTCCAGAAACATCAGAATATAACAGATTAACAAGAGACAAGGTTTTTCATAAAGCTATCTTCATACTCAAGAGAAATCAATGAGAAAAATTAATCTAAATCAATTCATTCTTTTAAAAATTGGAAAAGGGGTAGACATGGTGGCTCGTACCTGTAACCACAGCACTTTGGGAGGTCATGGTTGGAGGATCACTTACATTCAGGAATTCAAGACCAGTCTGGGCAACAGAGTGACACACCTTTTAAAAAAAAAAAAAAAAAAAAAAAAACACGTTTTTCTTTCATTAAGGGACTCTACCCACATGTACAGTTGTCTTTTTTTTCTTTCTAAATTTTTAAATTGTGGGTTTGAATATAGACTGTGGGTTGAGGACAAAATTTAGAAACCTGACTTCTTATCCACCTGCAAATACAGTATTATTTCGCCAGAATCTTTCTTTAGTATTTGGAAGCAGATCCGAGCAATGGATAGGAACAGAACTAAACAAATTATTTGCTTTAGAATGGCCCAGATTTCCTTCAGGGGATTAAAGAGAGAAATGAACACATAAGAAGAAAAGGAAGAAAGAAATGTTGTACCTGAGCGAGTTAGAGGGAAACGCCACACTTTGAGACTAATTTAAGAGTCCTTTATTAGCCAGCGAACAAGAGACAGCTAACGCTGGAAATTCTCTCGGCCCTGAGGAAAGGGCTTGATTTTCCTTTATATACTTTGGTTTAGAAAGGGGACGGGGAGCTTGGTTACAGCAATGCTACAGAAGTAAAAACATGCAAAAACACAAATGGTTACAGGGAAACAAACAGTTCCAGGTGCAGGAGCTCTAAATCTACCATAAGGCAATAGGTATGCGGGATCTGCCGGACACAAACTCAAGGCTTTATGGTGTTACCTTCTGAGCGAAATCCTGGGAACTTCGTACACTGCTTGCTTCAGTACCTCATCAGTGAATTGGACTCTTTGATATGTTGAGAGTCAGCTTACACAAGTAACTCCTTGAGGAAGGCGGTGAGTAAGGAGTCCTTGATGTCTTGTAAATGAAGGAGCCAAATGGAGTTCTTCCGGCTTTCTCAGCTAAGGGAGAGTCTATTCATGTGGAAACAAGGCTAGGTGATTAAGGGAGAGTCTAAAAACAAGGTTAGGTGTTACAGAACAAACGCCGAATGACTGGGATTTCCTGGAGTGAGAAGAAAGAGGCAGAGAGAAGTTTGAGGAAGTATGTGCCGTTCATATGAAGGTTATTGATAGTGACTGGGGCAAAAAAAAATGATTTAAAATATACTTCAATATATTAAGAACACATGGCCTACTCTTTGGAAAATGTGTCACAGATGTTGATAACATTTTGAATAAATATTAGTTGCTATTGTTTGCTGGACTGTGTTGCACTGAATATGCCTTTGTACAGCATTGAATCATGTGGGTGCCAATTGTATAAATCTTTCTTCTGTATGCAGGTGTGTATTTAGCTGACTATTGTGCATTAGCAGTAGGACCTTTTGCAGTTATTTATACGAGGTAAAAAGAAGGAAGGAGAAAGAAAAGGAAATCTGCAACGACTTTGCAATAGGAAAGAAATATAAGACATCAAACATGAAATACATGAATATGTGAATCACAGTAAGATATCTGGAAAAACAGGTTTAATAATTTATTGGCCAACACTTTTCTAAATTTCACCCTTAATTCTGCCATTAATTCCTCAACTTCGTTCACAGATCAGAATCTGTACAGTAGGTAGTCAGTCAGACGTGAACAGGACAGGAGAGAGCCCTTGGTCACCACCAGGAATACCTGGTGGTCAAACAGTTGTTAAGCTGGCTTTCTAAAATATTAATTGGTCACAGCAGGAACGAGGGAAAGGAAGTGTCCCAACAGATAAAAACACCTGGAACTGGTGAACAGCAGCTTCCTGATAAGATCTCAGGAGTTGGGTGAGTGCGTTCAAGCAGACACCCTAAAAGGCAAAATGATGGAGCTTAACTAGTATTTGACCTTCCTCTGCAAACATCCGACTGATGAGGGGAAAATGCCTCAAGTGAGCATGCGCACAACTCAGTAAACACACTGTGCATGCGCCCCCTCCCAAGTGCTGGCAGGCCGCTGCATGTGCGGAGAGCCCAACCCAAGGAAAAATCAGTAGGGAAGAATCAGGGGAGAAGGAACGCAACACCCCGCAAGCATGCCAAAATACAAAACCCTAAGTCAAAGGTCAAACCATGCACTTGAGTCTCTCATGTCATCCATTTAACTCTCTTCCAAGTATACTTTACTTCTTTTCATTCCTGCTTTAAAGCTTTCTTACGAAATGTTCACTCCTGCTCTAAAACTTGCCTGGGTCTCTCACTCTGCCTTATGTCCCTCATGCAAATTCTTTCTACTGAGGAGGCAAGGATTGAGGCTGCTGCAGACCTGTATGGATTTGCTGCTGCAAACAGTGCCACTTTAAAACAATACACTGAAATGAGAACAATACCTATATACTGTGCATATGAGACTGATATAAGGACTTCCTTGTCATCTTTTGGTATCAGAATAGATGTTAAAGGGAAGAATATTGTGATGAAGAGACACATAATCTGTGGTTTTTTTTTTTCTTTTTGTTCTTCTAGGAATCCACAAGTTTGTAAGAACAATTATTTTACAGCCTTTTAGAGTGTTTCATTTTTTTAACTACAATTTTCAAGAAATGGGAAAATATGTATATCTGACATTTCTCATTAGTGAGAATGAGAATGATATCTGTAATGTCAAAATGTCCTTTATTACTGGAAAAGTTCTTCCAGGGCTGTATGGGATTTATGGGATTTTCATCTTTTGTGATCTGCTCTTTTTTTCTTTCCTATAGAGCAGCTATGAGTACCGTCACTGTACTAAGAGGAATGTGGGTTCAAATTTCAGCACCAGCACTTCTTCACTGGATGGTATTAGGCAAGAGGTTTCATCTCTGTAAGCCTAGGTTGTAGAAAAATACCAAGCTAAGATAGTGAAATGTGGTACCAAGAAGGATAGACATGAAGTCCTGGATAAACGGACACTAAAACAAAGCAGATCTGGGTTTGAATCCTGACTTCAATACTACCGGTGATGTGATCTATATGCCTAGCACTTGTGCTTCTAAGGCTCAATTTTATGCCAACAAAACCTTTATTAAAATGCATACCTTGAAGATCACTATAATTAAAGAACAAATATCATGTATATGTTTTATAATAAATAATCTGTCTGATCTTTGCCCCTGATTCCTGGTAGATGACCACTAAACTAAGTCTTTGGAATTTCCCAAGTGATAGTAGTGTCTTTGTTATTCATGCTGGGACCCTCAAGTATGAATGACTATGCTAATAGAAGACTCAGGATGAGAGCTGATAGCCCTGAACGACCAACTTTGTAATGAGAGGATTGAGGATTTGAGCTAAGTGATATCTCCCTGATCACCTTCAGTAAGATGAGAGAAGCTGAAGATTAAATTGAAGCCTGTGACCAAAGATACAATCAATCACATTTACATAATGAAACATCAATAAAAATTCTGGATACCAAAGGTCGGTGGCGCTTCCTGGTTGGCGATCAATGTGCTAGAAGGATGCCAATGGGTGCTGCACCTAATTCTACAATGCAAGGGTACAGAAGCTCTACATTTGAAACCCTCCCACACTCCTCCCTATGTGTGTCTTCATTTGACTAGTCTTGATTTGAGCTTTTAATTTTTAAAAATGTAATTGTTAGTAGAGCACTTTCTCGAATTCTATGAGTCATTCTAGTGAATTATCAGACCTGAGAGAGATGGGGGAACCCCTGAATTTGTAGACAATTGATCAGAGTATGGGCGGACCACGGACTCCCAAATTTGTGGCGGGCTTCCAAAGCGAGGGCAGTCTTATTGGGGACTGTGCACTTGTACAGAGTCTGCACTAACTCTGAGTGGTTAGTATCAGAATCACATTGCAGCATTGCAGTATATAACATGCCTAGCACAGTGTGTGGCTCATAAGTAACTGATGATGATAAGCATAACATTAATATTAGTATTCTTATGAATGGAGCAAAGATAATCAAATACAAAGGCAGGTACCTTCCTAACATAGCTCCTTAGTTGTAATTGGGTAAAGTTTTCAAATATTGTGTTCTTTATATTTGTTTTTAATTCAAGTGATGTAAGTTAATTATGATTTACAAACAAAAATATATATTATTTTATATTTCCCAATGTTGGAAGACCTTTGCAACAAAATTTCAAAGAAAATGTTTAAAACTTAAGATAATCTGACTTAAGTTGCAAACTCAACATAGTTATTTGTGTGTTTCCAAGAGGAGCTGAATGATGAGAATGTTATGAGTACCATTTTTGTTTCCATAATAACAGAAAAGTTACAGCATAGTTCTAACACGCAGTGCAATTGGTCAACTTAAACTTTTAAATGTGGTAGCCTACATAAGTCTGTGTAGAATGAGGCAGGTAAGTGGCTGTCGTATGTAACATAAAATAAATTCTACCACCCAGCACACTGGCTCATGCCTGTAATCCCAACACTTTGGGAAGCCAAGGTGGGCAGATCACGAGTTCAAGACCAGCCTGACCAATATAGTGAAACCCCATCTCTACTAAAAACACAAAAATTAGCTGGGGGTGGTGACATGCACCTGTACTCCCAGCTACTTGGGAGGCTGAGGCAGGAGAATCACTTGAACCTGGGATGTGGAGGTTGCAGTGAGCCGAGATCATGCCATTGCACTCCAGCCTGAGTGATAAAGCGAGACTCCATTTCGAAAGTAAACATAAGTAAATAAATAAATAAATCCTGCCATTTCTTCTGTAGAAACAGTATACAAGAGTGTCCCAGAACAAAACTAAATCAAATCTCTCATGCTACATAGACCCTTTCTTCCAATCACACCAGCAGGGCAAGATTTCTTTAAAAATTACCATTTTCCATGCTCAGTAAAAAATAAAAGCCCCTGTGGTTCCAAAGCACACCATTTTATTCTGAAAACATCAGCAACCTAAAAAAAAAAAAAAAAAAAACAAATTAAGCAATAATGATTTTACCACAGACCACTTATCTGGAATAAATAACCTCAAAAAGTGAAAATGTTGAGGGCCATTAACACTACTCTTTCATTAATACCCAGGAAACGACCCAAACCACAGTCATTATAGCTATTCCACATCAATTTTCAAGAATCATTTGGAATAACAAGTGATGTGGCATTGACATAATTCTAAGCATACATAACATGTCAGGGTCATAGTATCAAAATACATGTTCAACAGAATCATAATTTTTCATGGAATTATGAGGAATTTTAAAGCACAGATAATTTTCCTATATGATCTTATAAACAAAAATTTTTAAATCCTCTGCATTTACTTTAATTAGCAAGGTTTTCCCTAACAGACAATCCTTGTTCTTCATGAGGTACATCAAAGTTAACAGAATGAGAGGTCTAAATGATGAATGCCTTGGTAACAGAAAATATTAACACCTGAAACAAGAAAAACTCTATGTTCTTTGACAAGGTTGATAATAAATGTCCTTCAGTTCTTTGCTGTTACATGAAAGTATTCATGAATGCCTTTCACTGTACATGAAGACTGGGGTCATGAATAGAGATTGCACATTTTTGAAGAATTTTCTATGTTCAGAAAGAAAGAAAAACACAAACTATTGTGGAAGAAATGGTAGAGGAACTTAAAGCTGAAAAAATTATAAGTAGAGTTGCCCTTATGGCCCTTGCCATATGGTAATTCCTTAGGGAACCATTTTCTTTCCAGGTCTCCAGTTAGGGAATTCTAGAGGTTCAGACTGTTAATTAGAATAGATAAAAGCATTTTGTCTATAGGGAATATGACTAAGCTTGATCACTGTTTAACAGATTAACAGAAATCTGGAAATGTTTATTCAGAGCTCTTGATAAATGTATTAGTCTGTTTTCATGCTGCTGACAAAGACATACCTAAGACTGGGCAATTTACAAAAGGAAGAGGTTTAATGGGCTTATAGTGCCACGTGGCTGAGGCAGCCTCACAATCATGGCAGAAGGCAAGGAGGAACAATTCACATCTTACATGGATGGCAGCAGGCAAAGAGAGAGCTTGT